AAAATGCATTTTGCCAGCTCTAATAATAAATTATTAAAGTTAAATAGTCTTTTAAGAAAAACCAACAATTATTAGAAGAGGGTGGGGGTGACACCATGAGGTAAGCGAGTTAACTATAGAAAAAACTATGCTACATACAACTGTATTATTAACAGACTAGAGATAATTGTTAATTAAAGAGATTAACGCTTAAGCACATACATGTACGCGTATGCGGCAAATATTATACACCTAGAGAGGCCGATACACACACACACATAGGGCACTTCCCGGCGCCGCAGGCGCGTCAAATTTGGCACGATGGTGCCTTGGGGCAATAGAACACGAGGGCCAGTGACTGTTGGCCGAAAAGCCTAAGGAGAATGGGTCAAAACTGACCTCGACTGACCGGCGCCTTATATGGGCTATATTACGAAAAAAAATTTCCTCCGACGACCCCCCTTGAAATTTTGTGAGGTGGTAGGAGAACGCCTTGGGGTGTCACAGAAAACTCGCCATGTCCGGAAAAATTCGTTAAATGGGTCAAAACTGACCAGTCGTAATTCCCTATATAATCTTTGTATTTTATGGGAAAAACAGAGGGTGATTTCCAAACGGATTTTAGGGCACTTAACGTTTTCACATCTGGCTAATTTTTTGCATGCTCTTAGGTAAATGGCTTGACCTTTAGGGAAAACTGTCGGTTTCACTCAAACCCCTAGACGAGGGCTAAAAAGTGACCGCGAGTGAAATTCTCATTATACGAGATTTGGTCATTTGGTCTTTGAACAGGGGAAGTAACTTTTTAATGTAATAATTTTTAAAAATTTTGTATTCTCTTTTCAAGGAAAAAACAAAAATCATAGAGTATAGCATTGTTTTAAATAAAAATTTGTTAAAAATTAAGCTTTGCATTGTACTTAAATTGTAAAAATCAATTGCGAAAGTAATTTATTATAATATTTGATTGATACTATTTAGAATCCCCTTGCAGTTCTAATAACCGTGCCAGTAATAAGTTTGCGAATATTCCATCAATATCAGTGTTGTGTAGCATTACTCCACTGTATAAATTTAGGCCCTAAGCATTTTAGATAGCAGCCAATCACCTATTAATTAATTATTCAATACTCAATTCTTTTGAAAACCTAAGCTAATCTAGGTAGTATGCCTAGTCTATAAATATAAAGCAAAGTGGTCAGGTGCCCGATAGGGCACTTCCCGGCGCAGCAGGCGCGTCAAATTCGGCACAATGGTGCCTTGGGACGATAGAACACGAGGGCCGGTGACGGTTGGCCGAAAAGTCTACGAGGAGGGGGTCAAAACTGACCTCGACTGACCGGCGCCTTATATGGGCTATATTACGAAAACTTTTTTCCTCCGACGACCCCCCTTGAAATTTTGTGAGGTGGTAGGAGAACGCCTCTGGGTGTCACAAAAAAACTCGCCATGTCCGGGAAAATTCCTTAAATGGGTCAAAACTGACCAGTCGTATTTCCCTATATAATCTTTGTATTTTATGGGAAAAACAGAGGGTGATTTCAAAACGGAATTTAGGGAACTTACCCTCTTAACATCTGGCTAATTTTTCGCATGCTCTTAGGTAAATGGCTTGACCTTTAGGGAAAACTGTCGGTTTCACTCAAACCACTAGACGAGGGCTAAAAAGTGACCGCGAGTGAAATTCTCTTCATATGAGCTCTATTACGAAAAAAAATTTCCGACGACGACCCCCCTTGAAATTTTGTGAGGTGATAGGAGAACGCCTCGGGGTGTCACAAAAAACTCGCCATGTCCGGGAAAGTTCGTTAAATGGGTCAAAACTGACCAGTCGTATTTCCCTCTATAATCTTTGTATTTTATGGGAAAAACATAGGGTTATTTCAAAACGGATTTTAGGGCATTTACCGTCTTTACATCTGGCTAATGTTTTGCATGCTCTTAGGTAAATGGCATGACCTTTATGGAAAACTGTCGGTTTCACTCAAAGCCCTCGACGAGGGCTAAAAAGTGACCGCGAGTGAAATTCTTTTTATATGAGCTCTATTACGAAAAAAAATTTCCTCTGACGACCCCCCTTGAAATTTTGTGAGGTTGTAGGAGAACGCGTCGGGGTGTCACAAAAAACTCGCCATGTCTTGGAAAATTCGTTAAATGGGTCAAAACTGACCAGTCGTATTTCCCTATATAATCTTTGTATTTTATGGGAAAAACAGAGGGTGATTTCAAAACGGACTTTAGGGAACTTACCCTCTTAACATCTGGCTAAGTTTTTGCATGCTCTTAGGTAAATGGCTTGTCCTTTAGGGAAAACTGTCGGTTTCACTCAAAGCCCTCGACGAGGGCTAAAAAGTGACCGCGAGTGAAATTCTCTTTATATGAGCTCTATTACGAAAAAAAAATTTCTTCCGATAACCCCCCTTGAAATTTTGTGAGGTTGTAGGAGAACGCCTCGGGGTGTCACAAAAAACTCGCCATGTCCGGGAAAATTCGTTAAATGGGTCAAAACTGACCAGTCGTATTTCCATATATAATCTTTGTATTTTATCGGAAAAACAGAGGGTGATTTCAAAACGGATTTTAGGGCACTTACTGTCTTTACATCTGGCTAATTTTTTTTATACACCTCTATAGTTGACTACGCAGTATGGAAAAACTGTTGGTCAGACTTAAAGCCCTCTAAGAGGTCTAAAAATGACCGCAAATGAAATTCTCATTACACGAGATTTGGTCATTTAGTCTATGTACAGGGGAGGTAGCTTTTTTATGTAATAATTTTTAAATATTTTGTATACTCTTTTCAAGAAAAAAAAATCATAAAGTATAGCATTGTTTTAAATAAATAATTTTTTGATAAATTAAGTTTTTCATTGTAATGAAATGTAAAAATTAATTGCGAAAGTAATTTATTATAATATTTGATTGATACTATTTAGAAACCCCTTGCAGTTCTAATAACCGTGCCAGTAATAAGTTTGCGAATATTCCATCAATATTTGTGCAACATGTCATTACTCAACTGTATAAATTTAGGCCCTAAGGATTTAACATAGCAGCCAATCACCTATTAATTAATCATTCAATTCCTCAATTTTTTTGAAAACCTAAGCGAAGCTAGACAGTATGCCTAGTACTTTCATAAAAAAAGCTTTTTTATTTTAAAAGTTAGTTTACTCAATATTTTAATTGTTTGTTTATTAAAATAATTAAGTCATTTATGTAGTATTTCTCACAATAATTATGACATTCAATAAAACATGTTAAAATCGACTAAAATAATCATAATTACTATACATTATTTTTTTCGGTGTGATGTTTTATTTAAGACATTTTGTCTGAGATATTTGTCTATGGTATCATTTGCCCTCATATATTTTGTCCTGAGATATTTTATCCGTGATATCATTTGTGTTTGTCCGTGACATAATTTATCTGTGAGATATTTAGTCTGGGAAATTTTGTTCTGAGATCATTTGTACCGGTACCCCTGTACCTATACCTGTATCTATACATATATTATATGCCCGTGTAGATGTAGATGTAGAGGTAAACGTAAACGTGTAAGTACACGTACACGTACACGTGTATGTATCCGCATTGCCAAACCACGTAGAGTAATCTATATATATAATCTCTTCTTGGAGACGTTAGAAAACACCAAGCTGTAAGCGCGCCTAGCAGTCCCCTCTCTTCCTCTCTAGGCATATCCCCATCACCCCCACCCCCACATGATCTGGTGAGCCGTGGTTCACGCTAAATGTTTACAATCGTAGAGCCGGGTTTAGTGAGGGCTATTAGGGGCAGATAATTTAGTTTGAAACTATTTTAAACTTAGGGAAGGTAACTAAGAGGAGGCTGCGGAAAAGGATGTTTTTAGTGTTTTAAAGCAAATATTTTCAATGACAGCATTGGATCACTCTCATTTTATTAATTACTTAAAATAGAATAAAAAGAATTGCACACCAAGTAAGAGCCAAATAAAATGTGTATAATAGTGCTGAAAATTATTAATAGGGATCTACAAATGTGATATAATACTTATGTAATATGTAATTTCATCAACCTAGATGTAACGGTACTCAGCTATCGTGTTTGCACACACACAGACAGACACACAGACACACATACACACAGACATACGGACAAGATTAAAAAACTATGTTTTTCTGATAATCGGAAGTGGAACGTTTTCTAGTTTCAATTTTTCAAAAGCCTATAACTTGAATTCAATTTTCGATAGATAAATAGAATTTCGTGTAAGTAAATGATCTAATTCTCTGCCTTCTGTCAAATTTTGAATAATTTCCGTTGACCGGAAGTAGTAATTTACGCAATTTCCGATTTCTCAGAAAACGCATCTGAATTTATAAAGCACTAATAATATTCCGCACCATTATGCACATTTTGTGTGGCGTTCACTTGGTGTGCAATTCTTTTTTCTTCGAGATTTTAATATATTTTAAAAAGTTTAAGTAATTAAAAACCAAGTCTATATCCCGAGTTGCCATCCCCTGTTGTTTTATATCATAATATTCGAGAAAATTTAGGGGTGGTCACTCCCGGTATTTTACTTTCATATTTGAATTATTTTAAATTTAGGTAACTAAAATATGGAGTTCCCACAAATGAATATCTGTTGCTGTTAATAAAAAGGCATGTGAGATCTAAGTACTCGCGATTATTCCTTCTTTGTTCCCTATATATTCCAAAAAGGTTATCAAATCTAAATTTTTCCATGCACTCAAAATTACTCGTTAACTCAGTTTTTCAATAGACGTTACATTCGTTAAAAATATGCTAAGGTACTTAAAGAAGCTGTATAACACGTGACTCAATATCGTCCTACAAGTGACACAATATCACAAAAGTGACACAACGACATCCAACACGTGACATAACATCCAACACGTGACAAAACATCCAACTCGTGACACAACATTCTACACGTGACACAGCAACAACCTACACGTGACACAATGACATCCTACACGTGACACAACGACATCCAACACGTGACATAAAAACATCCTACACGTGACACAACAACATCCTACACGTGACACAACAACATCCTACACGTGACACAACAACATCCTACACGTGACACAACAACATCCTACATGTGACACAACATCCAACACGTGATACAACATCCAACTCGTGACACAACATTCTACACGTGACACAGCAACAACCTACACGTGACACAATGACATCCTACACGTGACACAATATTCTACACGTGACACAATGACATCCTACACGTGACACAATGACATCTTACACGTGACACAATGACATCCTACACGTGACACAATATTCTACACGTGACACAATGACATCCTACACGTGACACAACAACATCCTACACGTGACACAATGACATCCTACACGTGACACAATATTCTACACGTGACACAATGACATCCTACACGTGACACAACAACATCCTACACGTGACACAACAACATCCTACACGTGACACAACAACATCCTACACGTGTCACAACGACATCCTACATGTGAGACAACAACATCCTACACGTGACACAACATCCTACACGTGACAAAACAACATCCTACACGTGACACAACATCCCACACGTGACACAACATCCTCAACTTGACGTAACGACATCCTACACGTGACACTACATCCCACATGTGACACAACAACATCCTACACGTCACACAACATCCTACACGTGACACAACAACATCCTACACGTGACACAACATCCCACACGTGACACAACATCCTACACGTGACACAACAACATCCTACACGTGACACAACATCCTACACGTGACACAACATCATACACGTGACACAACATCCTCAACTTGACGTAACGACATCCTACACGTGAAACAACATCCCACACGTGACACAACAACATCCTACACGTGACACAACATCCTACACGTGACACAACATCCTACACGTGTCACAACGACATCCTACACGTGGGACAACAACATCCTACACGTGACACAACATTCTACACGTGACACAACATCCTACACGTGACATAACAACATCCTACACGTGTCACAACAACATCCTACACGTGACACAACATTCTACACGTGACACAACATCCTACATGTGACATAACAACATCCTACACGTGTCACAACGACATTCTACACGTGACACAACATCCTATACGTGACAAAACATCCTACACGTGACACAACATCCTACACGTGACACAACATCCTACACGTGAGACAACAACATCCTACACGTGACACAACATGCACAACTTGACGTAATGACATCCTACACGTGACACAACATCCTACACGTGACACAACATCCTATAAGTGACACAACATCCTATACGTGACACAACAACATCCTACACGTGACACAACATCCTACACGTGACACAACATCCTACACGTGAGACAACAACATCCTACACGTGACACAACATGCACAAGTTGACGTAATGACATCCTACACTTGACACAACATCCTACACGTGACACAACAACATCCTACACGTGTCACGACGACATCCTACATGTGACACAACATCCTACACGTGACACAACATGCACAACTTGACGTAATGACATCCTACACGTGACACAACATCCTACACGTGACACAACATCCTATACGTGACACAAGATCCTACACGTGACACAACATCCTACACGTGAGACAACAACATCCTACACGTGACACAACATGCACAACTTGACGTAATGACATCCTACACGTGACACAACATCCTACACGTGACACAACATCCTATAAGTGACACAAGATCCTACACGTGACACAACATCCTACACGTGAGACAGCAACATCCTACACGTGACACAATATGCACAACTTGACGTAATGACATCCTACACGTGACACAACATCCTACACGTGACACAACATCCTATACGTGACACAACATCCTACACGTGACACAACATCCTACACGTGACACAACAACATCCTACACGTGACACAACATCCCACACGTGACACAACAACATCCTACACGTGACACAACATCCTACATGTGACACAACAACATCCTACACGTGACACAGCATCCCACACGTGACACAACAACATCCTACACGTGACACAACATCCTAAACGTGACACAACAACATCCTACATGTGACACAACATCCTACACGTGACAGAACATGCACAACTTGACGTAATGACATCCTACACGTGGCACAACATCCTACACGTGACACAACATCCTATACGTGACACAAGATCCTACACGTGACACAACATCCTACACGTGAGACAACAACATCCTACACGTGACACAACATGCACAACTTGACGTAATGACATCCTACACGTGACACAACATCCTACACGTGACACAACATCCTATACGTGACACAACGTCCTACACGTGACACAACATCCTACTCGTGACACAACATCCTACATGTGACACAACATCCTACACGTGACACAACATGCACAACTTGACGTAATGACATCCTACACTTGACACAACATCCTACACGTGACACAACAACATCCTACACGTGACACAACATCCCACACGTGACACAACAACATCCTACACGTGACACAACATCCTACACGTGACACAACAACATCCTACACGTGACACAGCATCCCACACGTGACACAACAACCTACATGTGACACAACATCCTACACGTGACACAACAACATCCTACACGTGACACAACATCCTACACGTGACACAACAACATCCTACACGTGACACAACATCCTACACGTGACACAACAACATCCTACACGTGACACAACATCCTACACATGACACAACATCCTACATGTGACACAACAACATCCTCTACGTGACACAACATCCTACACGTGACACAACAACATCCTACACGTGACACAACATCCTACACGTGACACAACATCCTCCACGTGACACAACATCCCACACGTGACACAACAACATCCGACACGTGACACAACAACATCCTACACGTGACACAACATCCTACACGTGACACAACATCCTACACGTGACACAACAACATCCGACACGTGACACAACAACATCCTACACGTGACACAACATCCTACACGTGACACAACATCCTACACGTGACACAACAACATCCGACACGTGACACAACAACATCCTACACGTGACACAACATCCTACACGTGACACAACAACATCCTACACGTGACACAACAAAATCCTACATGTGACACGACATCCTACACGTGACACAACATCCTACACGTGACACAACATCCTACACGTGACACAACATCCTACACGTGACACAACATCCCACACGTGACACAACATCCTACACGTGACACAACATCCCACACGTGACACAACAACATCCCACACGTGACACAACGAAATCCCACACGTGACACAACATCCTACACGTGACACAACAACATCCTACACGTGACACAACATCCCACACGTGACACAACAACATCCCACACGTGACACAACGAAATCCCACACGTGACACAACATCCTACACGTGACACAACATCCTACACGTGACACAACAACATCCTACCTACACGTGACACAACAAAATACTACATGTGACACGACATCCTACATGTAACATAAAGACACTAGTTTTCTATACGTAGCACAACGAAACCCCTCATGTGACAGATATGTGAATACACTACTGACCAGCTCAGCCTGCGAGTCAAACATAATGAGACTCGATTCAAATCCTTGACATCTGTCCAACGCCTCCGAGAATGTGTATCTCACCTGGTAGTCTGTGATTAGGTAACAAGATGGGCTACCTGGGTAATCCCGCCAGCCATACGGGCAGACAGAGGTGAGGACTGAGGACAGACATGACATTTATGGTTTGATAAATTAGTTAGTCTTAGGGGCTTACAGAGGTTAGGACTGAGGACAAACATGACATTTATGGTTTGATTTTTAAAAAAACAGTTATAGGCTTACTCAAGTCTAGAGCAAAAATAAATAAATGACACTAAAGCATTACATGTTTAGATTAACGCATTAGTCTTTAGTTGTTTTTTTTTTTTTAAATCAAACCCATGATTGATTATAGGACATGAAGACATTTTAATTTTTATTTCGTTCATTTTAAAAATCACTTGACAACGCCCCTTTGGGTATGAAAACTACAGTCTAAGATAGCTGATTATCTGCACTACAGTCTAAGATAATTGATTATTTTCACTATAGTCTTAGATTATTGATTATCTAAATATGTTGATCTTAGCTGTGGGAACATCGGCCCACTTTTAGTAAGACGTTTGCTAGATAAGGGACAGCTTAGTGTTGGATAGAATATGATAAAGCTAAGGTCTCACGTAAAAAGAGGATATATAGGAGGCTATTTATGTTACAGGTTATTTAAGATATCCACCCATCCGTCCATCAATTCATTTATACATACACACATACAATTATCCATCCATCTGTCCGTCCATCCATCCATCCATCCGTCCGCCCGTCCGTCAGAACTGTATGGAAAAAACCAGCATGGACATACCAGAACAGGAGAGATTGATCAACAGGAACACAGTGCATTTTCTTGAATTGACAGCAAACATGTCTACCGCTATTGTTATACACCAAAGGCAGAAATTTACACCAGATTTTTGCTAATATTGTTAGTGGTAAGCACCATTCCAGTAGAAACACAACCAAATCTTGAATCTAACAATTCAATTGTTCAAGTTCCAAGATTAAAGAACAATAAATGATGTCGTAAAACACTTATTTGAATACTCTGTAAAAAAGATTAGTCCTATTATTGTGACATTATATGAATTTTTCAGCTTTAATTATTAGCTGCATAATGTATTGATATCATGATTTAATTTGTTTTAGCAAAAACCTATGTACAAAACCAGCTTGACTCAAATAATATTAAACATGTCACGCTAAACGAAAATAATATTACATGTCACGCTAAACGAAAATAATATTACAACATGTCACGCTAAACGAAAATAATATTACATGTCCCGCTAAACGAAAATAATATTACATGTCACGCTAAACGAAAATAATATTACATGTCACGCTAAACGAAAATAATATTACATGTCACGCTAAACGAAAATAATATTACATGTCACGCTAAACGAAAATAATATAACAATATGTCACGCTAAACGAAAATAATATTAAACATGTCACGCTAAACGAAAATAATATAACAATATGTCACGCTAAACGAAAATAATATTACATGTCACGCTAAACGAAAATAATATTACATGTCACGCTAATCGAAAATAATATAACAACATGTCACGCTAAACGAAAATAATATAACAATATGTCACGCTAAACGAAAATAATATTAAACATGTCACGCTAAACGAAAATAATATAACAATATGTCACGCTAAACGAAAATAATATTACATGTCACGCTAAACGAAAATAATATTACATGTCACGCTAAACGAAAATAATATTACATGTCACGCTAAACGAAAATAATATTACATGTCACGCTAAACGAAAATAATATTAAACATGTCACGCTAAACGAAAATAATATTACATGTCACGCTAAACGAAAATAATATTACATGTCACGCGAAACGAAAATAATATAACAATATGTCACGCTAAACGAAAATAATATTACATGTCACGCTAAACGAAAATAATATAACAATATGTCACGCTAAACGAAAATAATATTACAACATGTCACGCTAAACGAAAATAATATTACAACATGTCACGCTAAACGAAAATAATATTACAACATGTCACGCTAAACGAAAATAATATTACATGTCACGCTAAACGAAAATAATATTAAATGTCACGCTAAACGAAAATAATATTACATGTCACGCTAAACGAAAATAATATAACAACATGTCACGCTAAACGAAAATAATATTACATGTCACGCTAAACGAAAATAATATTACATGTCACGCTAAACGAAAATAATATTACATGTCACGATAAACGAAAATAATATTACAACATGTCATGCTAAACGAAAAGAAATCAAGCCACGTGGAAACAAATTGAACCAAGTTACAGAAATATTTTAAGCAGTTGATAGCAGGAAATTACTTAGAGTTTATATCACTTGTACAACAATAAAGACGAATGCTTCCCCTTTAAAGTGTGCTGTGTTTGCTAATGCTCGAATAGAGGCATTGTGTTCGCGTGAAGTAGTCTGTCGCTCAGTGAATGCACTAATTACTTTATTTATAGCTCGCGACTTCTCAATGGGAGCTAAGAACTACACTCGTGACTCACGCCGCCAAAACCTGTGCTAGAAATAACTTCTATCTTATTTATGGAATACTAAAGCTCAAGTCAATAAACGCACGCTCACTACACCGCACTTTATTTTCTACAATTAGTGTTTGTTATTGACAATCAACTTTCACCTTTTGTGTTATAAGCTAGTAGGCCTACGTGCATGTTACAAATGTTTCAACCAAGATCTTTTGCACACCAATAATAACTTGTTAATTACGTGAGCACATAATAGTAATAACATGACCATAAGTTATGCTCACCAATAATAACGTGGTTGTAACTTGTGCACACTAGTAATAGCTTGAGAAAAAAAAGCGCACTATAATGATATAACACACCTTTACTAATAATACAATAGACGAGAGCACATCTATAATAACACTTCAATGAACTAGAGCACAACAAATAAAACTTCAATGCAAGTAGATTTCATGTCCAGAGAAGATTTGAATGCAAGTAGATTTTTGTTCAAAGATTGGTCCGCTCCAGGTTCGCCGCTCGAGCGAATAGTACGCTATAAGTAGTCAACGCCCCCTTCTACCACCTCTCCCCTGCCCTTGTATTTGTCATGTATTTCTTGGCCTAATTTAACGACCGTGATAGCATGCCGTTCTATTGGTGACACGTCATAGCATACCGTGCTACTGGTGACACGTGATAGCATGTCCTGCTACTGGTGACACGTGATAGCATGTCCTGCTACTGGTGACACGTGATAGCATGTCCTGCTACTGGTGACACGTGATAGCATGTCCTGCTACTGGTGACACGTGATAGCATGTCCTGCTACTGGTGACACGTGATAGCATGTCCTGCTACTGGTGACATGTGACCCTGCTACTGGTGACACGTGATAGCATGTCCTGCTACTGGTGACAGGTGATAGCACGTCCTGCTACTGGTGACACGTGATAGCATGCCGTTCTACTGGTGACCAGTATCAATTACCTCTACTGTGAATAATGTCTTTAAATATTAGGTTGTTCTGACCAGTATCAATGGCTTGTACCGTGAATGATGTATTTAAATATTAGGTTGTTCTGACCAGTATCAATGGCTTGTACCGTGAATGATGTATTTAAATGTTAGGTTGTTCTGACCAGTATCAATGATATGTACCGTGTACGAACCGCACCAATTTCGAACAGTCGCGTACATTAGCAGACAACCACAAATTTTTAAATTCACTCATGAGCGTAAATTCAATCATGAGTGTAAATTCAATCATTAGCACACCTTTTTAAAGTTTAATTATGGTGAAGTTTTTAATTAACAAGCTAAAATAAAAACGAGAATCAGCTTTCTGTTAGCAGATTGTTCGTTGCATTTGATGAGATAGCTTAGCCTTACATAGTAAGATGGCATTTACACAGACATACATTGTTTGTGTTATGGCTGTTTCATGAGATAGCTTCGCCTTACAGAATAAGATGCCGTATATGTACACAGACATAAATTGTTTGTGTCTTAAAATAATTTGACATGACACCATGTGCATACAACAGACAACATGAGATTTGGTTGAATATCTGCTATACCTGTTAAATCAATTACTTGTAGATATTCATTTCACTCGAGGCGTCAGCTTTCATTAGACATTGACAGAATTCAATTTCTAAACTTAAATGACTAGCTCTAAAATGTCTGGGAATAGAAATTTTAATCATTCTAACAAAAAAAAATATGTTTTGCAAAACTTGAAAGCTTACAAGATTTTTTTTAGTGTAGTGATTATGGGGAACTTGGACAATGCTTTGGATACATTTTCATGCAACATTAACCAACCTGTGGTTTCATTTACACATATAATCAAGCTAACGTTCTATACATTTACATGTAACATCACTTTTGGTTTCATTTACATATAACATAGGGATTGGTTTTATATACTTAAAATATCAAACTTAAACTCGTATACATCCTAATATATAAAATACCATGTGCGCACTTCTCTCTCTCTCTCTTTCTCTCTCTGTCCGAACATTTTTTGAGGCTATGTGACCAATATGTTCAGCGATATACGGAGAGCTTAAAGATAAGAACTTTTGTTGAAACTAATATGTTGGATGTTTTAAGTGTATAGGCCTACACTAAATCTAATTTAAAGAAGGAAAAAAAAATAAAGGTCTTTCGAATGTAGAAACACATTTTTAAGTATGCAACCGGAAAAATGGTTATTGCTGTGACCAGATCGGAAAAGAAAACAATGACGCCACATTTCATATGTTTAAACTACAGAAAGTACACAAAAATAATGGGGTCATCTTCCAATTTTAGATTACGAAGAAATGAACCGTTTCATTCCGATTTGATTTAGATCTATAGATCTACTAATCAAGACGTATGCTATGAAATGTATACAATTTTCTCGGCCAAAAGTAATACCATTTGAACAGTCGGGTTTTAACAAAATCATTTAAGCATCTTAATCAGTATGTGTATTAATATGGTGTAGTATTAACTAATAATGTATATAATTTGGTTTTTCTAATAGGTATTGGTTGCCTATGTTATTTTAAACGTGTCGAATTTTTAGCGATTAAGTAATTTGTTTGCTTTGTCACTAATATCGTTCAATGTGTAGTAAAGCACATTGCGTTTTGACCGATAACTGTTTAAAAAAATATGTTTTCTCAAACAAGCATTAAAATCTAGAAGCCTATTATTCCCGTGTAATGGGTACCGACTGCTAGTATGACATAAATATTAAATTCTTGTACGTACAATATCAAACTAATTTTTTTTTTACATATAACATGAAATTTAAATTCTTGTAAATATAGCAACTAACTTAAATTCTTGTACTTATGGTATCAAACTTTAATTCTGGTACATATAACATCAACCTTAAATTCTTGTACTTATGGTATCAAACTTTAATTCTGGTACATATAACATCAACCTTAAATTCTTGTACTTATGGTATCAAACTTTAATTCTGATACATATAACATCAACCTTAAATTTTTGTACTTAAGGTATCAAACTTTAATTCTGGTACATATAACATCAACCTTAAATTCTTGTACTTATGGTATCAAACTTTAATTCTTGTATATATAACATCAACCTTAAATTCTTGTACTTATGGTATCAAACTTTAATTCTGGTACATATAACATCAACATTAAATTCTTGTACTTATGGTATCAAACTTTAATTCTGATACATATAACATCAACCTTAAATTCTTGTACTTATGGTATCAAACTTTAATTCTGATACATATAACATCAACCTTAAATTCTTGTACTTATGGTATCAAACTTTAATTCTGGTACATATAACATCAACCTTAAATTTTTGTACTTATGGTATCAAACTTTAATTCGGGTACATATAACATCAACCTTAAATTCTTGTACTTATGGTATCAAAATTTAATTCTGATACATATAACATCAACCTTAAATTTTTGTACTTATGGTATCAAAATTTAATTCTGATACATATAACATCAACCTTAAATTCTTGTACTTATGGTATCAAACTTTAATTCTGGTACATATAACATCAACCTTAAATTCTTGTACTTATGGTATCAAACTTTAATTCTGGTACATATAACATCAACCTTAAATTCTTGTACTTATGGTATCAAAATTTAATTCTGATACATATAACATCAACCTTAAATTCTCGTACTTATGGTATCAAACTTTAATTCTGGTACATATAACATCAACCTTAAATTCTTGTACTTATGGCATCAAACTTTAATTCTGATACATATAACATCAACCTTAAATTCTTGTACTTATGGTATCAAACTTTAATTCTGGTACATATAACATCAACCTTAAATTCTTGTACTTATGGTATCAAAATTTAATTCTGATACATATAACATCAACCTTAAATTCTTGTACTTATGGTATCAAAATTTAATTCTGATACATATAACATCAACCTTAAATTCTTGTACTTATGGTATCAAACTTTAATTCTGGTACATATAACATCAACCTTAAATTCTTGTACTTATGGTATCAAACTTTAATTCTGGTACATATAACATCAACCTTAAATTCTTGTACTTATGGTATCAAAATTTAATTCTGATACATATAACATCAACCTTAAATTCTCGTACTTATGGTATCAAACTTTAATTCTGGTAGATGTAACATCAACCTTAAATTCTTGTACTTATGGTATCAAACTTTAATTCTGGTACATATAACATCAACCTTAAATTCTTGTACTTATGGTATCAAACTTTAATTCTGGTACATATAACATCAACCTTAAATTCTTGTACCTATGGTATCAAACTTTAATTCTGGTACATATAACATCAACCTTAAATTCTTGTACTTATGGTATCAAACTTTAATTCTGGTACATATAACATCAACCTTAAATTCTTGTACCTAAAGCATGAAACAACCTTTGGAATTGATTTCCTAGCCACAGCAAATATTTTAAAATTTGTTGAGGAGCTTTTTTTAAAAAAAATATTCAGATTTAAAATAATTTCTTTTTATTGTTGAGACATTTTTGTAAGCTCTCAAATGTCGTGGAGTTGCTTTCATATTAAAATGAAGTAATAACATGGCTTTTGTTTTAAAATTGGATCAATTGTTTGCAACAACAAAAAATATTAAAAATGGATGGTTTTACCTAATTTTATTTTAATCTAAAAAAAAGTGAAGCAACAGCGGCCAGCAATGTAAACAACTACAAGTTGCAATCAGTGTTGTAGCCAGACCTGCTGCTCTCACTGTCCACTGCCGCACGTGTTAAGTTTTGTAGCCAGACCTGCTGCTCTCACTGTCCACTGCCGCACGTGTTAAGTTTTGTAGCCAGACCTGCTGCTCTCACTGTCCACTGCCGCACGTGTTAAGTTTTGTAGCCAGACCTGCTGCTCTCACTGTCCACTGCCGCACGTGTTAAGTTTTGTAGCCAGACCTGCTGCTCTCACTGTCCACTGCCGCACGTGTTAAGTTTTGTAGCCAGACCTGCTGCTCTCACTGTCCACTGCCGCACGTGTTAAAAACAATTTTAAATTTTAAAACAACTCTACTCAGACGTTTGAGAAAATTATTAAAAAGCTTTGAAACGGATTATTCCTGCTTGGATCACAAGTGTCCATCTAGTGCTAGTGGGTATGTTCAATCTTAATTTCTTCGCGACTCTAACCATGACCATAACCATGCCTAGTTTGTCTACATCTCTTCACTCGTCTGCTGATGATGCCAGTAGTAGAAGGAAAGAAACAAGCAACGATTTCTTACACTTGACCTGGAATCAAAGTTGGACTGACCCTGAGATTGGTCAAACTTTGCCTGAACTAACCGCGAATCAGAGTTGGAATGACCTTGACATTGATAAGAATGTGTCTGCTTCGTGCATGTCTCTCTGTGGTCTCCATAGGGACGTGCCTTGCTCGTGTGACGTCAGATGTCGCGTGTATAAGACTTGCTGTGAGGACTTTGTCCAAGAATGTCCAGAAACTCTGGCAGAAAGCCGGGTGTT